TACGCAACCAGTCTAAGGCTCTTTTATCTGTCACAGAAGAGCAAGTGATTGAAGTCAATTTGTAACATTGAGTAATTAACTGTCTTGATTGCTGTCACGCAGACTTAGACTGGACCTGCTAAGTGGCAGTGCCTGAGCAGTTATGCAAACAATTATCAGCCATGTAATCAGCCTTGAGATTCCTCAACAGGGTGAGTTGAGCTCTAAATGACCATCTATCTAGCTAGAGACATAGGCCTATTTGTGAATATCTGTAAAAAATCTATCACTCGCCCTGGTAGAGGGTAAGTTACTGATATGTTTTGGAGAATTTAAATTAAAAGAAAATCTTATACATCCAGTGCGATTTGAATAGCCGCATAATCATTTCTAAACAAATTAAACGATGGCATATTCTCTCATAACATTTCCGACTAACATGTAACATGCTTAATTTGTACGTATGTATATACACCGAAGATTTGTATGTATTTAAACTGAAGATAATTATCACAGAAAAGCAGGATCACCGCAATTTGTATATTTGTTCCATATTTTCACGCATCGATTTCCTTGTAGCATTTTGATGTAATATACATGTTATGTCTTCTAAACCAGGCAACTTTTACAAACTGGGCGCCGAACAAACCATGCAGTAATGGAACCGGTTTCCACTGCGCTGCTGTCTTGACAGGCAATGCCCTGGGACGTTGGACCAATACCCGATGCGACCATACAAAAGATTATATATGTGAGAAAATGATAGGTGCGTTGTGATTGTTATTGTTACCACCAGTTGAATGTGCTATATATAAGGATTTATTATCCAAAATTATAAAACAGATATTGCAACAGCGTTACTATCTTCACGTGCCTATCCCCTTAGGATTCAACAAGGTATAATAATAATAATAATAATAATAATAATAATAAACTCTCTGAGTGTCAATTTCTAAATTTATTTACGATCAAAACTATCGCTCCTCTGTGGCAACTTTATCCTTTCCATACGCAACGACAAATAACATGTCAAACCATCATGAATACAATGTACCAAACACGCCCCTTAGGCCCTGCCATCACGTCGGGAACAACAACGGCAGCAGCTCCTTTCACATCCAAATGTGGATTATTTTGGGAGGACAATCCGTTAGGCGATTTCTGCTATCAATTCAACGTGGACACACTATCCTGGGCTGAGGCACAGAGGCAATGTGAAATTAATAATGGATACCTTGCGAGCATTGCTAGTTTGCATGAACAACAGTATATAACAGGTATGGCCCCACTTTATGTAAAATTAATTAGCCAAAATAACGTTTACGACAGTCTTCTCAATTCTGCTGATCAACCATAATTATATTGATTAGGAGCCCAAATGAAAATTATGCATTGATTAATACAGTTAAGACTTTCTGGATAATTATTCTTTAATTGTTATTATTAAAATTATCATCCAAAATATTCTTTTCAAATACTCGCTAATTAAAAAATTAGGAGTATATTCAATTTAAAATGACATACCGAACTCATACCTTTATGTTATACTACGGACCATTTATTTCCGTCTTTGGTGATACATCCGTATTAGCCAGGGTGCAGTCTATCCCCAACATGAGGTTTTACTGGTTAGGAGGCAATGACGTCATGTATGAGAATAGCTGGGAATGGACAGACGGCAGTCCGTTTGCATTTTTCAATTGGGAAGCCGGTATGATGTGAATTAATGTCTTGGTTTAGCAATGTAGCCTCCATGTGTAAAAGTGTAATAAAAAGAGAGTCAAAGAGGATATTTGTGTTTTTCCAAAGCCTGTTTGACGTAAATGTAGCTGCTAATGCAATTTATCATTTATTTCACTATATATACATTTATATCACTATATATATAGAGAGAGTGTATATATCTTTATATATACATGTGTATAATTTTGGTGATGAAAATATGATATCGAACTAATAAACTTCTATATATACACCGAATATTTGTCTCTGTTAAGGTCAGCCATACGCCACAAAGTACGGCCATTGTGTGGAGATGGATGCATCAAAAGGCACATGGAGAGACGAAAATTGCTCTCGAAGACAAGGATATATTTGCAAGAAAAAAGGTGAGGCAAAAAATTTTTTGTAATGATATGTAGCTGTCTAATTGGCACCGTTCATAAAATATTAAAATTCATAACTTTAAGTGATTACATTTTGCTGATAACCTTGTGTTCGAAAAGGTAAAATAGATGCCCAAAATACTCATAGAATTCAATTTTGAGTTCAAGTTCGTTACCTTTCTCGAACTACCCAATGTAAACTGCACAACGTGTACTCATTAAAAACACTGCATTTCTTTTCAACACAGTTTTAAATCAATATATTCTATTTTGTTCGGGAAAAACGAATGTTATTGATTTTTGTTAATAGCTTTTTTAATTCACAAAACTTGACGAAAGCCCATGTTGTGCATGCCGTAGTGATGGGTTTCTGTTTTAGGAGCGAGTACCATGATAACTGGTGCGCCGAATACAGAACCAACAGCTACTGTAGATCAAGGTATGTTGTATACTTCATGTAGTATTGTAGTATTTCGTATTCTCCGTCTTTAAACTTGTTTTTTAATGCATGTGCTTTGACAAGACTCATGGATGAAAATGTACTATTTTTCAGTTATGTGTTTATAAGTCACAAAATAATAAAACGAAAACTATGCACGCCATTACCCTCTTTAAGCTACCCTTTTTTGAAAAAAGGCCTTACATAAGTGGTTTTGTGTTCACAATTTCCTCACACTTCCTCACTCTGCATTATAAAATGTCACATCAGAGGCTTATGAAAATATGCCCCTCTTATGTTAACACATGACAAGTTAGCAGTCACTTTTGCTCATTTACTCTTTGTTATTAGTTTTTATTAATTCGAATCATGTAACATTTAACTTTGAATTCATTTGAATGTTAGTTCTTTGCCCACTCAAACATACATTTTCGTAATAGAAGGTCGTTATATTTTTACCAAGGGGTTTCCCATTGTACTGGTGACTGGACCTTGTACGCTGGAAGCTGTTTCAAGGTGCTTAATGCACCCCAGGCGTGGCCCCGGGCTAGAGACACGTGTAGACGGGAAGGAGGCGATCTTGCATACATATCAAACGCGAATGAGAACAATTTCGTCATTAGCTTAGCTGGGGAAAAAGAAGGTGTGTTCAGGGTTCTACTTATCTTTTATTTTAGAAATTAAAAACTGTATCATATGTCTATAGTGTGTACACGATGTGCTGTCAATGTTGGCGATTATTTTCGTTTGTGGTATTCAATTACATGCAAAACTTGACATTCTGAGTCGCCAGTGCAAAATTGCACCGGTCATTTTCAAATATGGATGAGGCATAAGTCAGTATATGATTCAGATTCCTAAGCCTTCAGAAAATTGTATTTATGGTGGTACACCATGTAAGAACATGCTGTTGGCATAGAGTGCATATGAACATATGGGGACATTTTCTTGCAGGGTGGAGAGAGTTTTGGATAGGATTCAATAGCCTGCGGATCACCAACCAGTTTGAATGGTCTGGTGGAACTGAAGTGTCATTTACCAGTTGGAGTGCAGGCGAACCTCACGCTGGGAAAGAAGAAAATGTGTGCGTCAGTCTGTACACATCTGCACAAAATGTAAGTAGAATTTTGTTTTGCTTTAACGGCAATGGATAGAAACGGTAATTATTTTGTTTTATAGAAGCGGGTTCATCTTTAATGTGTCTTTAATTTACCAGGAAGTTTCGTTTCAAATACTCAACTGGAAAAATGTCTAAACGTTAGTATTTATTTTCAAACCCCATGTTTTTACTGATAGTTAAGAAAAAATGGATTAAAATGATAATTATTGCCATAAATATTCCATGCAATCCCTGACCAGATCGATAATTGTAGCACATTTTGCCTTGACGTCGAGACAGGTGTCTTAACTCCGGTGTTCTGTGACATTTTGTTTTTCTAGGCCGGCAGATGGAATGCTAATGAATGCATCCAGCCGTTGCCATTTGTCTGCAGAAAACCAGCACCAAAGATGGTTTCGCCACCTACAGTGACGTATGACGGATGCCAAGGGGTTGGTATGACATTGTCATGTTTGATGTACAAATGGCGCTTCCACTTTGATCCTACATGTGTCAGTTGTAGACATTGGACAGTGATTTCAGCAGTCTTCTAACACTGCTGAAATAGCTGTCTTTGAAAACATAATTAAAATAATTTGCTCTTCTTTCATTATTTATCATTTGCATTTGATGCCTGTACCTCTCTCACAAAAGCCGCGCATTTTTCTTACAGGAATCTTCACGTGTAACTTCCTGATTTACTTGTAGATTTGCAAAAATTAAGCAGTATCGTATTTCAGTTTAATTATATAAGTCGAATGAATTCCATACAGGTAATGTTCAAAGAAAACATATGTCCACATGCATTCCCTCTCTTTGTGATTGACATTCTGATGACAATACAATTATAAATGATATATTTAATTATTTCGGCAATCTTGTTTTTATATTGCAGAGCGCGACGTGGACCTATAAAACGTCATGCTACGGCATATCAAGTACAGGAGAAACATGGTCTGATGCTCTGCAGAACTGTAAGAAATCAGGAGGAACATTGTTGGAGATAAACAATCGGTACCTTAGCCTTGTAATTATTTTATATAATGAAATATATTAAACTAATATAGTTAAAATTAGTTTAATAACCAACGGGATCCCACGGGTTTGCCTCACTATATCTTTCTGTTGCTTTATGACATTACGTAAATGGAATCCCACAAATCGACGTGGAATGTCTTGCATAAGACCCGTGATTCATCCCCTAATGATATAGATATGAAAACCTAACAATCCGATTCAAAATTAATAAAATTAACAACTGTAAGACATGCCAGTCATATAATCATTTAGCTGACTTCGGTAAATCAGCACAAGTAGCCATTAACCCGTATGTCAAGTTATTATAATTTTAATTAATGGTGTATATTTTGCTTTAATGATGTCATTCCGTAGTCTAGAGCAGGCGTATATTGGGTCACAGCTTGGTGACAGAGATGTCAACACAGAGCACTGGATAGGACTCAGTAAAGGTGACAAGGGAGACAGCTACTCTTGGACCTCAGGGGAACATGTGGCATACACCAACTGGGACCAAACACACTCAGGTATAATATCAATGACGATGTACTGCGTCCAGTTTGACTTAACTTTAAAATCGACAAACCTGAAATATTATGAACCTAGACATACGAAGCGTGTGTAATTTTAATTGAGTAGCGTGAATTTTCACAAAGAAGTGAATTATCGGACTAGATTTTTTTCCATTTTTCTATTGGCTTGACAGGAACCTTTTTCTGTGTGGGTTTTTGGGCTGTGTAATACGTTGTGAACACGCATGATTCTTTGATGCTCACGTGTGTAGGTGTAAAGGTGCATTTGTCCATGGCCGCTCCTGTCCGTGTGTGCTTTTGTGCGTGCGCGCTCACTTTCCTTCAGCCATGGTCATAACGAAAATTTACCTCCTTTCATTAGGAAACGGAGAATACGTCTGTGTAGCGATAACAGTATCCGGTAAGACAGCAGGTAAATGGGCAGACCGAGCCTGCTCCCAGACCAAAAGCTACATTTGTGAATATCCCAGAAAGGGGTACCAGCAGAATAAAGTCGGTACAACTCCAAGACCTCCCGCCTGTCCTTTGGAACACTACTGGAGAGGATATGGCGATTACTGCTACAAGGTCTAGTTCTGTTGTATTTTAGAAACAACTAAAAAAGCATGTCAGTATTGATCGGAATGATATCATCCGTTTGTTTGTTTGTTTGTCTGCTGATTCGCTGCGTCGTTTACAAAACTTACGAGATGGCGATATCTAGTCTAAAGCAATTTCATAAAGATATCAAAATCCAGTAATTAAGTATCACAACTAGTTGAAGAATGTTTTGCACCCGGACCTGTAACTGGATGAAAATAAAGTGTACAGAATGAAGGACCTGACGAAATTTCTTTATTATTTAATTTGAAGACAATGGTATTCGGAATATATTAGATGTGAAATTAGCCTGGACAATGACAACTATTATATTTATCTTATTTGTATTATCTTCACTTAGAAAATATTTTAGATTTTTACAACAGTTTCTTGCATTGTTTAGAGAGTGTTTGGTCGTCAGACTTGGTTCCAAGCCTGGGAATTATGTAAGAATCTTGGAGGTGACCTTGCTAGCTTTCATAGCCAACGCCAGATGAACGAAGCTGCGGATGTGCCACAATACGCGTAAGAAAAAAATCACTAGTATTGGTTTAAGTACACTAATGAAAGTAATTTACTAACAACTTAACAATCAAAAAGTCTCACTTCACTTTAATATCGGTGCAACTTAAGTAAGACTATTTAGATATGATGGCTGATGTTTTAGACAATCCCATGCTGTAAAGCCATGCCATTTCATTGTTTTCAGGTTTCATATATTTCACTCATATTTTAGGAGTGGTTACAGAGACAACTTCTGGATCGGCCTGCACAAACCCACCAAGAACAGCAGCTATGTCTGGACAGATGGTTCTGCTCTGGACTATACTAACTGGGACGAGGGAGAACCCAATGACCATAACGGTCTGGAGAGCTGTGTGGAACTGAACAGAGGACAACGGGGCCTGTGGAACGATGCCAACTGTTACACCTTGAAGCAGTGTATTTGTCAAGTTAAGAGAGGTACATAAATTAATGTTTTGGTTTCCCATCCTCACTATTTTCATATTTACTCAATTCAAAAATTTATATATTTATTTACTATTATTATTATTATTATTATTATTATTATTATTATTATGTTTCTTTTCTTAATTATAAATGAAATTTTACAATTGTTCAGTATGTCCTAAAAATTGTACTTTCGTTAGGAAGTAAAGTAAGCAAATGAAAACAACTATTGTAACTTAATTCATTGGATATGCAGTATACAGAATTATCAAAGTATGAGAAGCCTTACAAATTATACTGCACGTGTAAAGTCATTTATTCATTTAACAATACAAATAGTATTTCAAACTCAAAATAAAGATATTTCACTAAAAGTTGTTTCTTTCTCAGGTGACCCAGTGTATACTTCGATGTCTACGCCGGCCACAACAAAAGGTATGCTTAATTTTCAATTACTCCTAATGTTAAGAAACATTTGAAAAATGTATAAATCATATCATTGACGTTGAAGAGCATCTTTCGTGGTAAAGGGAAAATAATGATTGATATTTTTAAAACCTGTTTTTAAGAAATTTATTAGTCATTCTGAACAAAATTTTTTATTCGGCTAACATATAGCCATAATACTTTGACTTTTTAAAATTTCTGATAATTAGCTGTATATTTTATTCTTACCCACATGCCTGCAACTTTCATAATAAAATGTAAGATCCTTGCTGTCGCTTTATCGATGATTTACATTATAATAAAAAAAAAACTTGTAATGTCAGACAAAATTGAGGAGTCGGTTAACAAGCGCACCCGACCATAATTTTGTGGAAATCAGAATTATCTATAACTTTTTTTTTCAAATTGAAAATCATTGGGTACTTGTTTGATAAGTGGGAAATATTTCAAACTAGCTTCAGGAAACATTTGAATGCTGATTTTATGCTAAAACACGAACCAAGCTATGAATTTCACACCCAAAACAAAGAAATTTAAAAGAAAATTTAGCTATTAATCGATTTTGTCTGGCCTAATGGCAATATTTATAGCTCCTCACTGCGGAAACGACACCAACTGGCTAAGTCACGGAGATTATTGCTACTACCTGAGCCTTAGATATGGCAGGGGCGCCCAGTTACCCTGGCATGACGCCAAGATCTACTGCATACAAAACGGTGGTGATCTTATCAGCATACACAGTGTTGACGAGAACAATTTCCTGATTTCTCAAGTAAGAAATTATCATTTTAAAACATTTTTCTTAATCAATGCTTACCTGCAGCTAGCAGGATTTTAGTATGAAAAAATCCCAGGGAAGCGGTTGAAGATAAAATGATATGCAAGCTGGCTGTTTGTACCGTCTGGTACTCATCTAGACGCTAAATGTATGAAAATGATATACTTCTGATGATATGGGAGAAAGAAAAGGGATAACACTTAATAAATATCCACCCAACTTTCCCCCCAACACACACACACACACACACACATATACACACATACACTTCCCGCAGCATAAAACCCTGGCTAGCAATTCTGGTTTTGTTTTGTCTCGATTGACGTGATTTTCTTTGTCTGTATAACGCTTTACGTCTACATTAAAACATTAATGTAACGCGTTTGTACACGTAATAAATATGGCAATGAATTTTATGAATAAGATTTATGTGTTAATTGTACATACTGTTTGCTTCTACAGGCTTATGATTCGAGACAGTTCTGGATTGGATTAAATGCTCTGGATTTTGAAAGTTACAAGTAAGCATAACATTATTGGACCGTTCGCGGATGATTGTGATATGCTGTATACATACAAACTATGTCTAATTGATTATCAGCTGAGATTTGGCAAAAGCGTGTTAGCTGGTATAACATTAACAGTTACTGTACTCTGCTTTGTGTACGCACTTCAGTAGCAATTTCTAGCGGGTAATCCCTCGTCTCCACAACTAAATGATCAACACAAAAAAGGATGAAAACTCACAGTGAGACACACTGAATCATGTTTGTAACGTTCTCTGTACTGCAAATTATTAGTAGTAGTAGTAGGAGTAGTAGTAGTAGTAGTACAAACCCTTGGACTTATTAAGATCTAACTTATCTTTAAACCTGTTTAACAGAACGACGCTTTTACAGGTTAATTTATATTAATTTATATTAATTGGCTAATAATGTAGTTATCATATTACCTTGATCTTTCCAGGTGGAGTGATGGCAGTGTGTTGGACTTCCTGGCCTGGGACGTGAACCAGCCAACCAACCTTTATGGTGGCCAGAGATGTGCCACATTTAGCAAGCTAACAGGTAATATAACGATAATACGTTTTGAATTTATTTTGAGTAATACTCTTATTGTGTGAAAAATTTTCAATCGTGCGAACAATCTACGGACTGAAATTACAGGGCAAGTGAAAACGAGGGTTAAATTAAAGGCAGGGAGTATTAACAGTGCGTGATCTGGGAATATTTAAGTATCTGGATCATTCGAAAATTATTGAAGACTTGTTCTGTTCCAATTCACAAAAATCATATTTCTGATCGCCTGTCTTGTATTCTTTAACAGGAAATTGGGGAAACGAGAATTGTGGTGAATATAAAAATTATATATGTAAACGGCACAAGGACACGAGAACCACGGTGGCTCCGACCCCAACTCCAGTCATACTTGGGGGCTGTCCGACAGGATTCCAAGGCATTGGTAAACTTCCTTGATACATTTAATATATATGATGAACATTTTTATTATTTTACTAGACTTATAAGGAAAAGACATTGTGCTGTCCTTCCTGGTTAATGAATAGAATAAAATTATCTATATTGAGAAAGATATAAAATGTTTGTCTGCTGAACCAAGCTATTTTGTAGATAGATTTCTGAAATCAATGAAGATTCGAGATGCATATTTTTGTAGGTAATAAGTGCTACATGATTGTGGGAGACGACATCGATTCTAGCAAGTTAAAGGCGTGGAATGAGTCGATTCATGCGTGTGCTACATTCAGTAAGAGATCTGTTCTTGCTAGTGTTACCAATTCCTTGGAAACAGGTTCGTAAAAGTGGTAAAGAAAGTGTAGTCTTGTTTGTCCGAATTGTACTTTCTCTCTCTCTCTCTCTCTCTCTCTCTCTCTCTCTCTCAGAAAGCAAGAGTTAATAATTATAAGTGACAGTTAATAATTATAAATAAATTGCTAATTGTTAATTATTATTCTATTCGATCAACCGTTATTCTATCCGGTTGATCTTTCTGGATTTCATCATTAACTTAATTCAACAAATTAAAAATCACACTTTCAGCGTTTCTGACTACTGTTCTTAAAGACAAGACTTTAAACTACTGGATAGGCCTAAGCATACAGTGGGTTGGTTACAAGCGCAGATACAGAAGATTTCGCTGGGCAGACAATTCTAAAATCGACTATGCCAATTGGGATTTCGGAGAGCCCAGTGGAACTTCATACACCCCTAAGGTAAGTTAAGGGACATATTTTTGTACATTACTTACAAGACACAAATGTCTTAACCGTTGTATTTTTATGTAATGTGATTACAGCATGAAAGACGCTTCCTCGTTTTTGTGAAGTATTTTGTATACAATGTATGTGGCTTTGAAAGTCCTCATACACATATGTGGCTGATTGAGAGCAATCGCCCACTCGATGCTGGGATTTTCGTTTTCATTCATAAAATTCACGATTTCGCTTGATGGAAAGCCGAACTGATTTTATAGTCGCAAAATACTTTGTTTTAACGTTCCACGCCTTTTGAGATCATTAGTACAGCTTATGAAAAACAATAAGAGATATCTCATCGAACAATCATATAAAAAAAACTTTGAAAAATGTGCTTTGCATTTGGTTGATGAACAGGAAGATTGTGTGGCTGTTGCTTCAAAGGGAAACTCTATTGGGCGATGGCGAGATCATGGGTGTAATGTAAAGATGGGCTATATATGCCAGACTTGGAAAGGTAAGTTGGAATGACAATGAAGCACCAAGACAGCGTAGTTAAGAGTATAGCACACGTAATACGACATCAGTGCGATATATTAGTAACCAAGTAACATATGTTACGGCATGCGGAACTTTAAAGTTTAAATTAAAAAATCGTACAATATGGTTTATAACTTTTTTGTTTTTGGTTTAAATGATCTTCTAAACCCTTTCCGATTAGAATGGTGAAGAATGATGTCTCTATAGTTTTAATCTTACTGTTGAACGTGAATACAGCATCATAAATAAATTCAAGTAAGTACAAGTAAATTAACGTGCTTTTTGTAATGCTTCCAGCAGTGATACATTTCGTTTCGTTTAAGATCCTAACCTTCCCACATCACAAGCGCCCACACAAGCAGGCTCACTTTGTCCAACTGGCTACGAATCATTTGGATCTGCCTGTTACCAACTGACGTCACCAATGACCTGGGAAGAGGCCAATGTCACGTGTGAGGGACAGCAAGACAGCCTGGTGTCCATATTAGACCCCCATGAGCAAGCTTTCCTTGTTTTGATGATGCATCGGAATGATACACAGCCTGTGTGGATTGGGTTACATAGAAATAGGGTAGGATTTATCGGCGATGAGAACTGGGTACAAATTCAGATCAGGTCTTAAATTGAAAGATTGTGGCTAAGTGCATTCAGATTTTCAAAATGGCGCTCTACGTTGATATTGTATTGTTAATATTAAAGGATTACCCAGTACATCGGATGAATGAATAAACATCTTACATTTTTGATGTTGATGTTCTTTTCCCTTTCAGTCATCATTTGAATGGGTTGATGGATGGCTTGTGAATTATGTCAACTGGAACGCTCGGGAACCTTCCCGGAACACGGGAGACTACTGCGTACTTCTCGACACTAATGGACGTTGGAATGACACAGTGTGTTATAGGAAATTTCGAGCGATTTGCAAGAAAACATCAGGTAAATACCATGTTCTCCTCTTGGAAAGTGCTACATCTGCGGTTACCACGTGATTAATTAACAATACAATTAAATCAACACATTCTTGTTTTAAAGATTTTTCATATAAGCTGGACCATTGAAAATATTTTTTACAAATTGACTCGTTTTAGCATGGTATTTTTCAATATAATTACACCATACGTTGACACCTTAAATCCACTGTATAACAAGTTTGTGTGTCCACTGCGAACGTGTTTATTCTTAGTCACTGAGTGTTTCCAACGGGCTGTGGTTTTCTTTCAAGAAATATTTACATACTGGCATTCAGCACCCATAATATTACAGTACCAGATTATTTTATTTTTATTAAGCTACGAAACTGGTAACAAAAAGAGTAGTAAAATCTGCGACAGTTAAAATCCGCAAATATATACTAATATTCCGGTTTTGAGTAAGTTGAAGGGACGGAATAGAAAACACAGGCAAGAGACAGTCATTTGAGAGGATGCATGAAGTGGAAAATATTCAAAATCCGTGTCAATTGGTTTCAGTTCGGCCGCCCACTCCGACTGCAGAAATCCCTGGCACTTGTCCGGACGCCACCTGGCATCCCTATGGTTCCTATTGCTACTTTATGTCGAAAGGATATGCAATGTGGGCAGGTGGCATTTTCCAGTGCCACAAAAAGGGGGCGACACTGGCCTCCATCTCAGACCAAGGGGAGATGGACTTTATACTGCGGACCGTTAGAGAGCAGCTGATAACGGTGGATCTGTGGATAGGACTATATAGGAATATTGATGGTGGGGCGCAATTGATTAATTATACACCTGTATAAGGGAGACAAATTAAACTTTGAATTTATTCGTAATCAATTATGTTTTTTATTTAATGAAAAAGTCACCTTTGAATGCCATATATTTTCTGTTCATTGCGAGGGCTTGCATTCTTTACAGTCGACGTGATTTGTAACGTTCCATAATTAAATTGTCAAAATGAGCGTAAATAGGCCTACTCATCAGTAACTCAAGATAATTCGCATATCATTTATATTCCTCCAAACCCTCTTTTGGCGTCAAACTCACTTATTTTTCTGGCAAACAATTTGAGATCTTACACGTCTTTAAACAGGGTCACTCCGTTGGTACGATGGCACTCCTATCAATTACGAGAACTGGGGAATAGGGCAGCCATCTTCAGAGAAGGACATGGACTGTGTATATGCCGCCAAAGGGCGCGGTGATTGGCAGGCGGGGCGGTGCGGCCTAGCAATAGGCTATATTTGTAAAGTACCCAAAGGTAAGGGTCAGCGGACACGAGCTTGCATGGTCAAAGTAGATGTTTGCTCTGTTTGTGTTTACACTTTACTGTATATATGGCTTTTATTTGGCAATGTATGGTTTTCATCCCTTAGTTAAGGTACTATGTTAGATCATTAACTTGCCTCATTTTCAATATGACGTAGTATTGTGTGTCGTTTTACTGTAGTTTTTCTTTAATGTATTTACGCTAAAATTTGTAACTTATAATTGGTCAAATTAAATGACATAATAAATCAAGTCCTTCAAATTGAATAGCTGCAACTGCAGGAAAACGTCCAAATGTTGCAGATAATATTTCATTTTTGAGGAGGATATCTATAGTTTTCTACGTAAACCTGTTTTTTTAACAGCTTTGACGGCTTTTTAAAATGATCTTATGAAAACCATGGCTTTTTTCATGGCCACATGCTTCATATATACACAGTGAATGTGTTCCATATATTTAGTTCTAGCAACAACACCTCTAGCTCCTGCTTGTCGAGATGGCTGGTACCAAAGAAATAGCATGTGTTATAAGGTAATTCACATGTCCTTAATATTTCAATTACTCGAGATGGCATTTGACAAATGTAGAAGAAATCCACCTTCGAAAACACCGCAAAATGCACACCAACGTAGATAAGCACAGTACACGTAGCCAGTGTCGGCCCAATACGATGGCCCAGCGGCTAAAAGGATGTTGGCCGATACTGTTCTTCAGCAATATTGGTCTGCTTAATTGTAGGTTTAAAAATGCAATGTTTAGCTGACATCCGACCTCGACAGGTGCTTCTGTCATGTATGGTTTTCGTAAGATTATATTACATTTTTTTTCAAACAATATTTATTTATGCTCTGGTTTAATAGAGTTAATTGTAAGTTTGGGGGAAATAGATATATATTCATTCATATCTGTACGACTTTTTTTTATAATTTTGATTAGGGATTTTATAAATCGCGTAGAAATACGAGAACCTGGGCGGATGCTCGCAGTTTCTGCCAGCTTGAAGGAGGAGATCTGGCGAGTTTTCTCAGCAGTGTAGAATTGAACTGGTACTTGGACACCCTTGGGACATATTTTAGGTGTGTATTACAATTTGTTCTGCTTTGTCTCACTGATAATTTGTATATTATTATTATTTTTATAAAATTGGTTGTGTGCCTTGGAGAAATATGTGAAATTGAATTCTATATCTCACTTCAAAAGGATAATTGTTTTGGCCCATTTTTAATTTTTTTGTTTATTTACTTTTGGGAGGAAGGTTAAAGCATACAGAAAGTATTTGGTTTAGAAAATGTGGTAAAGGTTTTTCCTTTTACCTCAGATACACACTCGGTAGAGATATGGTTTGGATTGGTCTACATGCACCAACAAATACAACAGGTTAGTCCGTTCTCACCTTGTTGACGGTGAATCTCTCTAACCTTAGTTAAAATACTAGTGAAGCAAAACAGCTGGTAAGATTACTTACCATTTCCCTCGTGCGCCGGATTGCATAATGCTTTTATAGTATGTGCTTAATGTTTTGTTTGTATTGAGTACAAAGATAGTAACTTTTGATATAACTAAAAATAAACAATCTACAAATAACACAAGTTTGATAAACGATTCTGTAAATAGATGGCGCTGAGCACATTTGGTCTGACAGCACGGAGACCAACTTCACGAACTGGGATGACGGACAGCCAGACAACCATAACGGAATGGAGCGCTGTGTTGGGATGTTTGCCACAACGGGAAAATGGCGAGATGAGAACTGTGCAAGCGCAAGAGGTTGGATTTGCAAGGTACCTCTAGGGGCAACGACGGTCTCGAGGACAACAGAAGGGACAAGTATAGGTAAATTATACTACTTTTTTATTTATTTCTCGACTCTTTTATTTAAAATATGTAAAAATTCAGTTGTTAAGACATAAGAATAAAAACTATTTGAAACCTTCTTTATGCAGTTTAATCACCATGATTGGATTAGTATTAGCGCTCATTAATACATGTAAAGTACATATGAGAGCAATCTGATATTGCAGGCAACAAAACAACGTTCTGTTCTTATTAATATGAATTATAAACACTACAAGACAAGAAATGAAAAATAGGGATACATGAAAAATGCTTAAACGTGTGCCGTGAATCTTATATCTAATTTAGACGGCAATACAACCACGAAAAGTTTGTGAACTATGAATAAACACGGCTTCTTTGTTACGTCTCTTTAAATTAAGATTATCAAAAACTTCTTTTATTATAAAGAACCATATTTTCACATTATCCATTGCAGATAATATCTGTGTGATAAATACAGCGAATATCTTATTTCAGCCGGCAACATCTGTGGAGATAATTGGCATTCTTTTGGGGACAACTGTTATTTCTACAGTCATCGCTGGGGTGATCCAGGGCGCGAGTCGTGGCGCAGTTCTCGAAAATGGTGTCTAAAGAACGCAGGCGATTTGCTTAACATCCAGACCCCAGAAGAGGCCGATTTCATCACCGCCTTAATTGGTAGAACAGAGCACGCTAAATTATGGATAGGAGCTAATAATGTAGACTTGAACGGCTACAAGTAGGTTTGCTGTTTCACGTAAGACACACAGCTCAGCTGTTTGTAATTAACAGAAATGATTTAATTTTATTGTAGAATTTTGATTTACTTTACTTGCTGGCCGTTTGCAAATGAAATGCATATGAACTTACAAAATTCACCAAAGACATCTAGACTGCATGGCGGGTTTTCCAGAAACCGCGGTTTTTAAAATGACTAATTTATATAATATGGATTTATGAAAAAGATGATAAGCGAAAATCTTCCACCTGTAAAACGTTGATTTTTTCTCCATAGTGCTTTAAAATAACGATGATGCCGAGATTTTCATATTTGCGACATGGCTTCTGTCTTATTTTAAAACTGAATTTAGATTTAGATTCTATACGTCATAGCAACACATTGTGCAGCATTATTTAATTTATTTCCAGGTGGACTGATGGAACGCCCGTGAACAACATCAACTGGGCTAAAAATGAGCCAAACTCAAAGAACGGAGACCAGAGATGTATCAATATCTACACTGGCAAGGAGAATATACAAGCTGGTAGTATTTTAATGATTATATAAAACGTCTTTCTGTTCTGATGCATCCAAGTGAACCAACTATATACACGTACCAACGTATGCATAAAACACTGCTTGTCACGTGTGAACTTTACTTATTTTTTAATCCATATACCATGACTGTTTGTTTAGCATTGCTTCTGCCGGACAGTTACACGTGTTGGCTTTAATTATTTTGCTTTGTAACAAGAACCTTTTAATAATTAGGTCTTCATCCGCTCCCTTTTCGAAATTTTAAAAATATCAGAATGTTCCCTCGACATCTTTCATTGTCTTCCTCTGTCTAAATGGTTTTATGTATTTTATATATTTTTGCATGTGTATAGTGCGACTTTTAAAAAAATTATATTACTTTTATTGTTATTATTATACACATAGGCACTTTTAATGATGACAACTGCGGTGACAAGCTACCGTTTATATGTAAGAGGCACGTGTCAAGTAGAACTACCGGGACCATGCCGCAGACCTCTTTAATACCAGGGCACTGCCCTGTTGGGTTTGAAGGCGTAGGTAGGTGACGTTTCATTGTCCACAATTTGGTTAAGTATATATGTTTTTTCACAATAATAGCGAATAAAAATTTGATGATTTTCCACATCTTTCAGCTGTGATGTATTTTAGGAAAATATCCAATTAATTTCTAAAAACGAAGTTGGACTATGTTCCTTTTGTTTGTATGTATTACAACTTAATTAGAAGCTCTTTGGGGAAATGAAATCGGATGATAATACTGTCTGGCCATCTATTTACCTGTTACTTATAATATGTTGCCGCACCGCAGGAAACCGGTGTTATAAATTTGTTGGAGTAAAGGAATCAGACAGAAAGAATTACACCGACGCCAAGGCCGCGTGCGCCGCCATGGGAAAAACAGTCTTCCTGGCCAGCATCACCAACTCTTTTGAACAAGGTGAGCAAACTGGTGATATTAAACTGACATAAGCACTACTGCGCCCATGGAATACATGACTTCTTGATTGGCTTATACAGACATGTTCTTTGAAAGCTCCCATTATTTAATCCATGCCCCATCATATAATCCAAACCTTTGTTTCACGTATAGGGTAATCGTGGTCCTTTGATATCTATAAGAAACGATGCGACTTTAAAAACTGGAGCTATTTCTATAATTTATATTTCACAAAAATTTATATTTTATTACAGCTTTTGTTACGAGTAGAGTTCAAGACACGGATGTTAACTACTGGATTGGATTAAGTGACTATGACCGCCAACATTTTTTCCGATGGTTGACGAATGAAGATTTGACATATACCAATTGGGATACTAATGAACCTACAAACTTTTTCGTTGTATGCATTTGTATATACTTTTTGACATGTTTTATTTATTTGTTTGTTTATTTGTGGACTAAGTCTTTTATCCGATATTTTTGTATGTGATAATTTACCCTTGTCAAAGATGATTTTAAAAGAAATGTATGTGCTTAATATAATTTTTCACTGATGTTGGGTCATTTTTGTATAATTTTTGCATCATGAAGACTTCATTTTAACAAATCTCAAATAGTCAGTTTGATTATGAGGCGGGCGATTTATTATAATGCCATGTTTTAAATCCATGAGTTTTGATTTTGTATAGTCGCAGGGAGAAAACTGTGTCCAAGTTCAATCATCCAGAGACAGTGCTGGGAAATGGGCAGATGACACTTGTTCTAAGCGATACGGCTACATTTGCCAAACATGGAAAGGTGAAGACCCTCTGTATTTATTTTTTGGAGTATGGTATAATCTGGCGTGTAGTTGGATTCAGTGCTTCTTATATTTAAGTGTTTTATATTCAATGCTTGGAAAGTACAAGATGTTGATACAATTTATAGACAATATGTACTTTATGTCATCCAACCAGTGGCTCCATCGTGATTTTTCCTGGACTGGTGCAGTATACTTATCCCTAAGCTGCTTTTACGAACCTGTTGAAAAAATATAAATATTTGAAATGTAGAATCAAATTAAATGTGTTGATTCGGTTGTAAACACGTGTTCCTTTCCCTGAATACGGTGTGCCAAATTTTGAGCTTAAGGGTCAGAAAACAACACAGACCAAACCATACCCTAGAGTAGCTCAAGGCTTTGAGCAAGACGTTGCCTGCAATCTTTGGCTCGTTCATGAAGAAGTTTACATTCTGTTATTATTTCGAACAGATCCCTCCATCAAAACACCATGGACTACGCAATCCACAGTTCGGGTAATTACTTGCCCTGAAGACTACTCCACCTTGGACGGTCGCACGTGCTTTAAGCTGTACACTGACCCTAGACCGTGGCGACTGGCACATAGGCAGTGCACGACGGACAGGGCATATTTGGCATATGTTCCAGACGCTGTCCAGAAGGCAGGCTTAATGACGTTTTTAATCCAAAGCGGAAAACTGTCGGTGTGGTTGGGTTTGAAAGACATGGGACGAGTAAGATTTATGTGTATATCTCTTTTTATATATTTATTTTTCGTTATAAAAACCATTACCTGTAATCACGTTTATCCGTGCAGCAAAACGTTTTGAGGGTTTTCTTGGCACCGACCCTGCCATCCACATATCTTAATTGCCATACCATCTTAAAGTACAGTGTTCACGTAAATCGTTTTGGAGTAGTGATTTACACAGCTGTGGACAAATTCCGGAGAGTTTATCAGTCAGTGTCCTATTGATGGGTTGCCAATATATTTTACTGTAGCAACGTTTCAAGTGGGTGAATAACTGGCCCCTCCAATACACCAACTGGGACAAGAACGAACCCAGCGCGGGCGTCGCAGAGGCATGCGGAGTAATGGCGCCAGATGGCAAATGGAAGAGTATTTCCTGCCAACGACATATGCCGTTTGTTTGCATGACATCATTATGTATGTACAATAGTACCATCACAGAACAGAACAGTTATTAGGCATGTGTAAACTCTTTTCGTGTAATGTCCATGCACTCATCGTATGTAAGATAAATTATAGCTTGGTTTAGTTTCTCAGCATAAACTGTTGTACAACAAGAACGAACTGTAATCCGCAAATTACATGCATACGAAACTACAGAACACCGGGACCATTGTCCATACTTTAATTCTGATTACAGATGAATTGCCATCTCCAACAGAGTCATTTGCGAGTTGGTGTCCTGAAAGTGGACTATGGAGAGAATACGACACCTCTTGTTTTTACTTCGATGCACAAGTCCGCCAAACTTGGGCACATGCCAGCTTTGAATGTTTTAAACGAGGAGGCCACCTTGCGTCATTTAGCAATCAAGACGAAGTTGACTATATAATCGGTCTGCTGAGATATGAGAGCCGGCCTGAAGATCTGTGGATTGGTCTTGTGCGAAGATTTGAAAATGGTTTGTGTGTTTACATTTTTATATATTTAAAAAATTCAGCGAGTGTGGTGTATTTGAATATACAGTATGTAGTACAATGTCCATAAAACTTCATGTATAATTAGGACGATAACAAACTAGCTACCTGCATGCGTTCATGCATCGGTGAAATAGAATGGTGTGAGGGAGAGGGGGAGATTTTTAAATTTTCATTATTACCCTCATGTTTAGATACCTTCACCTGGTACGATGGAAAGACTGTTGGCTTTACTAACTGGTCGCCTGGGGAACCAACGCACAAAGATGGAGAGCAAGCCTGCGCAGTTTTCCTGATCAAAACTGGACAGTGGAGAGCTACGAGTTGTACGGACAGAAATGGGTTCATATGTAAAGCTCCTGCTAGTAAGTCTGGGTACTGTTAATTAAAATTTACCAAGCAAATCACAAGTCAGGGTAAAATAACTCACTCGGGTGGCTTCATATACTATGCACAGCTATGGGGCAGATAACTGTAAAAATTTAAATACTTGGTCAAACCTACTTATAAGAAGCATAAAATCTCTAATGTCCAACTTAATACCATTGAGAGGTTACGTTTATAATAGTAACACTTTGTTTCCAGATATTCCGGCAACCTCCCATGCCAGTGGAAAACCTTCGACAAGTCCCGCCAAAACTCATGAGAAGTCCTCTCAGGCGAAATCAGGAGGTATAATAAGATATAACACACGTTGATTTAATTTGAGGATTTTTTGTTGATTATTATACGCAGCAATGAAGCATTTATCAATAATATAGCAATCAATATCTGAAACACGTCTCCATACAGAAAGCAGAACTAGCAACTGAGATATGTCCACATAAAAGTTTATTCATTTCACTTTTCATAATTGCATTACTTTTAACAGCATCTTCATCTTGAAATAATTTTTAAAAAACAGCGACAAAACAATTCATACATAAATATATTTTTCATCGTTTTTAAAGGTGCTGCATCGCCTGTTCCAAACAGTTTCTTGTGGCTTATTCTGTGCATAACTACAGGGGTATATTATAACGTTGGGCATGGAAACACAGCGTAACTTGCTAACAGAGAAATGCAACATAAACGCGGCATTATAACAATTTAGTTTTCCGCATTCCGATTCATCTGTTGTGGCTAAAGCATATTTAAAGAATTAATACCAATTTAGTTGTATATATATATATATATATATATATATATATATATATATATATATATATGTGCGGTGATTTTCAAACTGCCGGAGAGTCCTTTTTTTCTTTTTTTTTTTTTTTTTTTTTTTTTTTTTGAAAAAT